CGTGCTTTCCAGGCATTTGAAGCATTTCAAATGCCCTGGGTGAACGCTGCTGCCCCTTCTCTACCCGTGCTTCGCTGCCGGTTGCGCGGGGCTCGTCTCTGCCCAGGCTAGAGCGGCTCAGAGTCTACAGGAGGCACAGAGCACTTTTAAAAAAAGCCCCTTTTTTATGGGGCTGTTTCCTTCTGCATTCCAACCTGCTGGGGTCAAACGCAGCGGTTGGGTGTGGAGAGCCCACGGAGCCCGGCTGGGCCAGGGAGAGCGATGCGGTGGTGAAGCAAAGAGCCAGCGCTGGCACCACTCTAAGGCATCAAATAAGCAGATCTTGGAGGTAAACCTGCAAAAAGTTTTCTCCTTTGCATTCTGTTCCCATAGTCGTTGACTTGCTGCAGGTGATTTGGAGTCATCCGGAGAATCGGGGTGCTCTCTTTCCTTCGGGAGGTGCAGAGAGCTTGGGAAGAGTTCACAAAACCCGCAAGAGGGGGTTATTAAATTCAGGGATGGGTGACGGCGTGCGCGTACGCATGGTCTGCAGCCACACGCTGGCTTTCAAGACGCTGTGTGGTCCCTTACCTAAATCAGCCATCTGCCAGAAATTCCTCCGGAGTCGCAGCTCTTGACACGAGATGGATGAAGCCCTGGGTCCGATGGGGAATAATGCTGGCCAGGATCCGGGGTCTCGTTACGACAGCTGTGCTAGCTCCGACCAGGATCCATCTGGCCCAGCATCCTGCCTTTGCAGGGAAAGCGTGGAGGAGCAGGCGGAGCTCGCACGCTTCGGGAGCAGATGTGCTCATGCCGTTCCCCGTAACCTTCCAGGAGGTGGTGGGGGTGGGTTTTTTTTGGCAAAATCTCCGTGTACAGCTCGGCACCGACCCACGCTGTCGAGCATCTGCGCTCCTCCGGCGGCACGGGGCTGCGGGGATCCGGGGCCAGGTGGTCGCTTCTTCCCCGTCGCTGGCCCAGATGCTTCCACGGCGCCCGCAGACGCTTGGGCTTGTTCTGCCAACCCCTTCCCTCCGCTGGCCTTGGCTCACCGGGGCCAAAGCCTGGGCGGCCGCTCGGCGCCCCACGAGACGGACACTTTTTGCCACGCTGGGAGAGTTTTTCCCCTCGTGCGCGGGCTCCGGCCGCGCATCTTGCTTTGCCCCATCTGTGTTTCATAACCGGTCCGGTTTCCCAGCCGCCGGGATCCCTGCGGATCGGGCCGGTTTCATCCTGTTTTCTCTATTGTTCCTGCATCTTTCTGCTCGTCTTTCTGCTGGGGGTCGCTGGCGGAGGGCCGCGGCCCCAGCCTTCTCCCTCCCGCCTGCTGCAGGTCTGTCCGTGGCTCCGCGGGCAGGTTCCCTGCCAGGCGGCATCGTTGGAGGAGAGGTGGCTCCCTGCTAAATTCAGGGCTCGGGAGCTGGCTTACTGCGACTCTCTCCACAGCATTAAGCTGCATTTTTACCCATTCCTCGACTTTTAAGGCCCATGCCGTTTTGGGAGGGTTGTTTTCAAGCAAAAAGGACAGGGATATATTTTTACATCCTGTTTTTATAACTCACCCAGGCTCAGAAAACCTCCGAGAGCTCAGGGTGAAACAGCCAGGGTTTGAGACAGCCCCCAGCATATTTTCAGAGAAGTGAAATTACAGGCAAGGGGGTTTCCCATTTGAAATCACCCTCGAGGCTGGCTGGGGAAAATATTCTTGTGGCTGTCCGAGCCCTGCAGGCACACGCTGACATCTTATTAAAAGTCCTTGGCCAACTCTTTAACCCTGATGACCTCCCTGTTGAGTTTTCAGAGCACTTCGCTAAATGCCATGTCTTGTAATGAGAAGCCATATTAGCTGGTTTCTTTTTTTTTTAAATGTATTTATTTCAGGATTGTGATCGGCTTCTCCGGCCAGCTGATGCCTGCAGGCCGCTCCGCTGGGCTGCTGCTTGTTCTGCCGTGGAAAGATGTTTCATTAATAAGAGTTTGAACTGAAAACTGGGGGGATGCGATGTGTGTGTGTGTGTGTTTGCTGTTTCGCTTGGTCGCCAGGAATGGGGACAAACGCTCCCGCCCGTGCCTCCTGGAGAGGGGAGGCTGGCGCGGGAGGCAGGGC